ATGACAGGTTTGAGGGGACTTTGGGGAGTTAGATGGGTTCAGCTCCTCCCAGGAAATGATACTCCAGAGATTCAGCATCTTCCCAGCTCTCACAGTACCTGTGCTTGTTGTAACACGCACAAAAAATTTCTTGCCTACCCTGACTGAATCACTGAGCCTTTGTCCAACAGGAGCAGGTTTTCCATTGTGAAATGGAGCTGATTTGCAGTACGCTGGAGGGCTCTCCAAATCTGCAGTACTTAACATGTGTTATTCACGCAGATCTATTTTCCTTTAAAACTCACCCCACAACTGACTCCTTCAAGGCCATTGTAGTCCTAGCCACTTCCAGAGACAGGACACAGACAAGGGGACAACTGCCTGACTGCAGAGCAGAACATCCTTGCATCCATCTCCTGTCAAAGTGCATTTTTTACCCGATTGAACTCCTTCACAACACGTGTCGCATGGAAAGACTCAAAAACCTTGACACTGCACATGCTTGCTGTCATGCAGTCCCCTGTGACTAATAAATCGATGGTGCTCTGCTGCCTTCATCCTGAAGAAACATCTCAGCTGCCCTGGGAATGGTGTGGAATGTTCTATTGCTTTAATAATAATCACTTCCGCAGCACATTACAGCTATTTGCACACTGCTTAACAAGTGTGATGTGGCACTAACTACTGCTTAGGCTCAAAACTATTTTTCAGAATTAAGAATTTCAATATGACTCATTGAGTGGAAAAATACAGATCATGGCCTGAACAAGCAAATAGCCCGTGAGAAAGGGCTCGTGTTAACTTGGGAACACAAGTAAACTGCCACTAGCTTCTGCATGCAGCTGGAAGAAACTTGTTTTGAGAAACTGCTCTGTAGATGTAATCAAGCATCCTTGCTTTCTGTGAATGACCTTGCTTATACTGATATGCGATCCTTTATTGTCTCTCACTGTTATATATATGGTCATAGTACTAAGAGGGGTTAGCAGACCTCTTGCTGGCTGCCACTGGGACCTGCTGGGGGTAGTCCCAGGGCAAGCACTCTACCGGCCGCCCCAGGTAATGTGAGTACCTCTTCATTAAACTGATGAACTTTGCGTACTTTCTTGTGGGTCAGTAAACCTCATGCAGAAGTGCTGGTGCTTTTGCATTACACTCGCTCACTCTGTTATAATCTTTTTCTGCATGGTACTAATATGAGAATCCCCTTCTCCATGTGTCTACTTATGCCTGACAGCAGCCATGGATTTGCTAAGGCAGCTTAGTAAGATTTAGCTACTGCTGTCCAGTCTCTTGCATTCATCCAGGGTCTCAGGACGCCTGGCAGGAGCACTTGCAGCAGCCAGAGCTCTCCAGGAAAATGCTCTGTTACTGACCTGTGCCTGACAGGAGCTCATGAAAGTCAGCTAGGCCAAAACTGCAAGGGTCTACAAGTTGAGTACATTTTGGGTGCTCAGTTATTCTCAATACCCACAAAATAATAAGTTCTCAAGACCCAACAAATAACATTGTACTTGAGCATCAGTTACTACTCATGTAAAGTGGGAATGCCCATACTTGTTTGTCTTCCTTCACTAGATGTTTAAATAATTAAAGAGTGGAAATTGTACATACTTAAATCCTTCTGTGTGCCTTAATGAACAGAGTGCTAACAACTTCCAAAGTATCTTGTTAGCTATGTAGTTTCTTAAAGCCTTGCTAGTTTCCTTAAAGCCCATCCACATTTGGCATAGATATCTTGTGAAGAATGGCTTTGGAAACTGGAAAAGAATAAACTGAAAATATACTGAGCAGGTTAAGATAGTCTGGGTATGGACAACACTCCCACTGAAAAGAATGACAAATGGCACACGCTCTACTTTTTTTCTAGTGCTCTCCATGGGTTGCACTTCTCAGGAATGAATTTCATTATCACGACATGATCACAGCATCACTGAATCATAGGGGTTGGAAGGGACCTCTGGAGATCATTTAGTTCAAACCCTGCTGAAGTGGGCTCCCTGGAGAAGGTTGCACAGGAAAGACTGTCCAGAGGAGATTCCACAACTCCGTGGGGATCCTGCTCCAGTGCTCTGTCATCCTCACAGTAAATACATTTTTCTCAGTGGAAATGTATTCAAAGAGACATTAAAATGAAATTTATGGCTGATCAGATTTCTGTTTGTCTGAGAAATTACAAGTTGCATTATATTAGATGTAAAAAGGACTTGAGCAACACAGTTCACACATCGTTTCTAGTGTGGTAGATGACTCAGTAAGGCTGAGTGGGAGAACCAGACAGGTCTGAATCACCACTTTTTCCTCCTCTCTGAAACAGTATTATCTCCAAGCAAATAATTTCCAGTCTCAAAGATGCAGCAGTTCAGTAGAGGCAATCACAAACCTCACGTCCCAGAAGGAGCCAACTGGTTAATGAAAATTCACAGCTGCTTCATATTCGAAGACACTGATGTATGTAGAAGGAAATTAGTTAATTAATCTTACAATTCTGGAACTTGAGAAGTATTTGGAGAGACAGTGAGCTCCATTTCATGATTTCACAGAAGCCATGTATTATTTAGCTCTTTCCATTGTTCAGACTGATGTATGAGAAACACAGCTGTGGAGTCTGACAGGAAAAATGAGAAAGACCAGATTTCAAGAACAGAGAAGTAAGAAACAGTTTGGGTTCCCGATGTTCTATCAAACAGATCTGCATTTTTCTGGCAAGTTCAGTGGGCAATGAACAGAAACCTGTGCAATACGTGGGAAGACCTTCACACATTTTGACAAGTAGATTGAGGACTTTTATCTGCTAAGAGATGACTGCATTTGGAAGACCACCAACATTCTGCATTTTCCTTAAGCCAACTAATAACAAGCATTTGCACATCATGTGTGCTTGACTGATCCTGTCATACCCTCCTGTATCTTTTAATATCTAGTACTTACTAACTAGATTGGTAATGTTAAATTGAAGTACAAAGCTAAATAACAGTTGAATAAAAATAATTAAATGAAACATAAAAAAAAAATAAGGATTTCTGATTTTTATAATATCAAAATTTGATAAAGAAGAAACCAATACTGTTCTACAGAAATTACCTGAAAACATACGAAATTCAACTGAGAAGACAGTTTCAAATCTTTGCAACCAACATTATCAGACTTCTGCAGAGGAGATATTAAGATGGGATTTCTCACATAAAGTTGGTGATGTACCAGGATATACACTGCATAATAAAACTATGTGGTGCTGGAAAACTCAACTGAAATACATTATAGGACCAAAATGGTGATCGTAAGGCTTTCATTACTTTCTTGCTGATTGCTTTCATTTACAGAATTCAGAAATGCAACTTTATGCTTTATGGTAATCATTAATTTCAGAATGAGAAATAGTCCAAAGAACTGTACTCTTCATTGTTTAAGGAAAAAAATGTTTTCTACCAGAGAAATCCACATGTGTGTGTATTCCTTGAAGGAAGCTGCAGCAACTGTAAGAACAAAATGTTGCCTCTCTTGACGAGACTGGCAGACTTAGGAATGGAAAGACATCAAAGATAAATGGAACACAGGAGGCCTCAAAGTTCCTGGAGTACACGCAGCCCAAGGAGCCTCAGTTCCAGCTAGACGTGTTTTCAAAGCAGAGCACTTCAGTGCTGCCTTAACCTTTCTTGCACTGCACAAAAATATATATATAAAAAAAAATATCGACTGGATTTGATAGTATGAAAAGTCAGTAAGTAGCCACTACAAGTAGTGATGTGGATTTTACCAGAGATTCTGTTGTCAGTGATGATTGCAGTTGCCTACATTGCAGTAAGACCATACTCTACATTACTCAGAAGCTTATTGTCCTGCTTTGGCTTCCCTCAGCCCTCTTGGGTGCTCATGGGGACTGGCAAGCACAACATGGTCATCCTATTTCACAGTTAACTGAAGAAGAATAGCACCTTGCTCTAGTGCAGACTGGTTTGGGTCCTCTGCAGCTGATGGGGCATACAGCCCAGGGCAGGTCCAGTCATTCACAAATGGTGTTGCTGTGTGTTCTCATGCCCAGCACCCTGACCATTTTGGTGGGCTTCTGCTGGACTTGTTGTGTTTTAAGCACTCTGTCACAAAATTGGTGAAGGGTCTGGAGGGGGAGACATACGAGGAGCAGCTGAGGTGCCTTGGTTGGTTCAGCCCAGAGCAGAGGAGCTGAGAGAGACCTCATGGTGGCTGCAGCTCCTCAGGAGGGGAGAGGAGGGTCAGCACTGAGCTCTGCTCTCTGGTGGCAGGGACAAGGCCCGAGGGAACGGCATGGGGCTGTGTCAGGGGAGGGTCAGATGGGGGTTGGGGAAAGGTTCTGAACAGGAAGTGGCGGGCATGGAACAGGCTGCCCAGAGCGGTGGTCAGAGCTGCAAGCTGCCAGAGTTCCAGAAGTGTTTGGACAATGCCATCGGACATTGGCTTTGAATTCTGAGTGCTGCTGCGCGGAGCCAGGAGGCTCATTGATCCCTGAGGGTTCCTTCCAATTCGAGATATCCTATGGTTCCGTGAACCAAGGAAATGCCGCACAACCGTGGTTACTGGACAAACGGCTGCAGTTCGCGTTCCAGCTGATGGGAGCCCACAGCACCCGTCTCCTCTAGGTCAGTGCTACCAGTGCATGGAAAGCACGGCATGGTCAGCTTCTTTTTGCCACACAGCGGTGTTATTTCAACCGCTTTTGTCTTTCCGCCCTTCTCTATTCTATCCTTCCTTCCTACCTGAAAGGAAGGAAGCACGGATGGAACGCGATCCCTGCCCCTCGGTGGCAGCACCCCGCCCACCGCCGCCATTTTCGGCCCCTCCCGCCCGCCGCGCCCCCAGCCCCACTCCCGCGGCTCGGCCTGCTGGGCGGAGCCAGAGCCGGAGGGGCGGGGCCTGGCGGGCGGCAGCCACCAATGGTGCGGCGGGGGCGGGGCGCGCCGCCCGGGGAGGCGGCCGGCGGGCGGCCGCGGCCGACATGGCGGGGGAGCGGCGCTGCCGCCCGCGGTCGGGAGCGGGATGGTGCGGGCATGGCGGCGCTGCTGAGGCGGCGCGGGGCGGCGGCGGGGCCCGCTGACAGCGGGGAGCAGCGGGAGCCGCGTCCCCTTTCCGGCCGCGCGGCGGCTGCCCTCGGGTGCGGGCGGCGCTGAGGGCGAGCGGGGGGCGGCCGCGCGCCCGCGCCGCCGCCATGCTGCCCGGCGTGGGGGTGTTCGGCACCGGGCTGACGGCGCGGGTGATCGTGCCGCTGCTGCAGGCGGAGGGCTTCGCGGTGAAGGCGCTGTGGGGCCGCACGGCCGAGGAGGCGGAGGAGCTGGCCAAGGAGATGAGCGTGCCCTTCCACACCAGCCGCATCGACGAGGTGCTGCTGCACCAGGACGTGGACCTGGTGTGCGTCAACCTGCCGCCGCCGCTCACCCGTCAGGTCGCCGTCAAGACGTTGGGTGAGTGCGGGGCTCCGCGGCCGTGGTGCTGCGGGCAGTGCCCGGGGGAGCGCCCGGCCCGGGGCCGGGAGGGCGGCTGGGTGGAGGATCGCGGAGGACCCGAGGTGACGCTGCGCCCTGTCCCTCTCCGAGCGTCTGTAGCCGCTCCCCGTCGCGTGCTGTTCTTGCGAATGATGCTGGGAAGCGGTGTGGCTGAGCCCGTAGCTCGCTGATGCAATCTGCTAGCGACGGAGCGAAAGAATTGAAACAAAAAGGTGTTCGCTGGGAGAAGAGCCGTGCCCGGTTCTCTTTCAACCTCCGCTTAGTTTGCTTTCCTCCGGCTGCCCCGCTGCCGGCTGTTTGCCTGCTGTAAAGGTAGTAACGGCGACTAAGCGGCCCCGGTCTCCCTGTTGTTTCGGAGAGAAATGTCTGCTGCTCGATTTTAATTTGAATTTCGTGGAAATGGAAGTTATGGTGTGTCGAAGCAGGTGGCAACGAGGGATGGGAGCTGTGCTTCCCGAACAGCTGCTCTCCCTTCTCTTCCTCACCACTCCGTCCCTGCTCGCCCTGGAGCTGGCTTTTGCCCTGCTGCTGGGCTTGGCGTTCGTAAAATGGGGCTTCAGGGTCCCCCTGGCCAGCACGAACAGTTCCTTCCTATGATAAGGAAAGGATGTGGGTCTTTTTGAAAAACAACACCACATCTTTCTTTTTTGGTATGCTTGTTTTCCTTTTGGGGCTTCGTGCAAGAAACACTGTGTGGCAGCCGGTGGTAGGACATGAGCAGCTGTACCAGAGGTTCCACTCATAGAACCTCGTCTTCAAGAGGGCTGAAAGTGATGTCCTGCACTGCAAGAGATTAAAGAAAGCCAGTGTTGTTCACTGATACACCCTGATCTGGTTTCTATGTGGGGAGAGGCATATCTGTCCTGGAAAGCTGCAGACTCCATTTTTTTCCCCTAACCTATATTTTGTTTTTTGAAGTCCCTTGTTGCTAGAAGCACTGTTTTCAGGCAAAGAGGTTTTGTTATCAAAAAGCAAAGAGCCTGGGGCAGCAGCTGGTGGGTTTCCATTGCATGCCTGTGTTTGCACTGTGAGTCCTCAGTGCCTTTAGCCCAATGCCTTCTTCCTGATGTGGGCACTGGAGGTGGTGTGGGGCCAGGCAGGTGTCCTCACAGCTTTGTGCTCAAACAGTGCCACAGGAAGCGTGCGGTTGTGTTGTTGTTGCTAGTGCTGTGACATACAGGCACGTATTGCTGCTTTATGCTTATTTTGGGCACAGTGGCCCAGCCCTTCAACCACTACTACAATGCAAAAGTGTGAATTCAGCCTTAGTTCAGGAAGTCCCCCAAACTGTAGCTTCCTGGAAGCAAGGAGGGAGAAAATGACAAGCTTAAAAGCTCTATTTCCCTCCTGGTAACTTTTCCACTGGTGTCTTCTGCTTATCCCTGTTAGAAATAGAACCAGATCCAGTTCAGGGGCCTGTTCTGCAGTTCTCAGCTGACTTGCTGCTTGGTAATCAGGAAGGATCTGCACTTAAATATTTGGGTGAGCCTAGAAACCAGTCTGAGTGTTGAGTAAGGATGTTTTCCCTTCTCACTGAGCAGAAATGTTCAGCATGTCTGCTAGCATTGTTCTGCTTTCACCCTGCCTGTGTGCACCGGCAATGCAGTTGTGTCTCAGGCCTGGCCAGGAAAGGGGATGGGTTCTGCATGCAGACACAGTGTGTCACCAGAACCCTTACCTGTGTTTAGCATCAGAAGGGATCCTGGTACAGTGCAAGCCTCCACCTCATTAGAAATTGTCAGCGTAATCCCTCTACCATATTTAACTGAGTCAATTAAATATGACTTTCTTCAGATGCTCACTGGAATTTGCACCGTGTGACTGAATAGCTGCTGCATCACTTGAAGTGATTGCTGCAGGTGGAGCTGAGAAGATGACATTTCATGTCTGTGTTTTAGGGAAAGCTGCAGCCATTTCTGGTTGCTTTGGTACTTGAGTCAAGCCTGTTTAACTGAAGAGAATTTATTGTGAATGTTCCCGTGAATGCTTATGTTTTGCACTGGCACTAAACGCCAGATGTTCTTCAAGCATGTTTCTGGAAATGTTAACCTACTGACTGTTTTTGCTTCCTCTCAGTTCAGCTATGGACAGAAGCACTAAGCTATATGCTAAGTATCCACTGCATACTTGCAGCCACGTCTGCACAGCATTATTTTTGAAATGTTTATGTTGCAGTAGTACCTGGTAGAAGTCTGTTCTGCCTGGGGACTGTGCAGGCAGAGTACAACTTTCCCAGCCCTGTGCAGCTTCTTCCTCTTAAGAGCACTTAAATTTGTTTGCTGACCAGTGCTTCTGTATTTGATCGTGGTCATGAGGGAACATCTTCAAGAATAAAGGGACATAAATTGTGCTGCTGAGCTCCTGCTGTCCCTTTGCGCAGACAGGTGGTACAGGCCTGTCATTTGGAAGGTGTTTGTGGGAGCCTGGAGGTGATGAAATGCTGGCAGAGTATTGCTGGGCCTACCCCTGAGATCAAAGAAACATCACCTGTGCTGAAGTAATTCACAGATCTGATGTAATTTGTAATTCACTTACACATTCCTTTGCACTCACTCATACAAATAATTAAGAGGTAACCGAGTTCTAGCTGTGGACCAGCTTCTGTGATCCATGTTTTACAATGTGCTAAGATCCTCTATTAAGGTAAGATACTATCACAATTATGAATATCAATGTAATATTTGTCCCACAATATTGAATTTAAAACTGACTGACAAGCAGTGACATTGAGCAGAACAAGCACTTGTGCTTGGAAGGCAAGCGACTTTGCAACGTATTAAAAGTGAATTATGGGCATCTTATTGCAAAAGAAGTCAGATGCAATGTCAGTTTGCAGAGCTGGGAAGGAAGGGCAGTGTTGCTCTTTTATCACATGACAGATGTGAGAAAGTGAGTCCAGAAAGCGTGCTGGCAGGCAGCTGCAAGTCTTCATCTTGCTAGAGTGATGGCTGTGTGTATTTTAGAAGAAGCAGAACATAGCACACAGCTCTCCCATGCCTTTTTTTCAGTACTGCAGGTCTTCAGTACTGTATTCCAGTCTGGTTCCTGTGAAACTCCTGGGACTGAGTGCACAAGACAGTTAAGGTAGAGATGACTGTTCAGGTACCATTGTAAAATGAATGAAATAAACAACAACAAAAAAAAACCCTTGTTTCCTTCCTGGCTTTTAGATCAAATGCACTTTCCCACTTTTTCCTAGTGAAAGTAAATGCCAGTTCAGGTTCTGTGGTGGTAACGTAATTGGGATGCCCGGTATGGAGCACTGGGGGTGCTGGGGCACTGAATTCTCGTTGCAGTGACACACCCAGGTTTGCTGAGGCTGAGGAGCAGCTAGCAGGGATCAAAATCCTGCTGCACCAAGTGAGGCTGTGTCAGAGGTTACTCTGCCTATGGCTGCCTTGGCTAAAAGAATACCTGCCCTCAGCGCTTAGAACAGCAGCATGGGGTACCAGGGCATGGGCACCCTCCTTTCTAAGACTAGAGAAGTTCTGAGAAAAGGTGTGTTTATAGCTCTAGTTGTATATAGAGTATTGTAGTTATTTAACTTCAGGAATAAATTACAGCAGTCCTGACAGACTGAGCCCTATAACACAGAGGATAGATATTTTGTCATTATTTTTCTTGACCCTATACCTTTATTCTTAATTGTAGTGGCCACTGTTCCGTGTGCTACAGTGCTGGGTTGACTGGTCCTTGCCCACACCCTTACTGCAGTGTCTTCCTTTACTGGGTTTGGGACTTGTCCTTGACCTGTACAACCTATCAGCATAAAGGACTGTCAGAGCGAGCTCAGCACTCGGTCAGCAGGTGAAGGAATTGGGGCCTGCTCCTGGAGTTTCCAGCTTTGGGGGGATGTTAATTAAAGGAGTTTACAAAGAATGCGTAGATAAATGCAGAGAAAGGAGAATCTCCCGGGCAAATAAAAGGACAGTTTTCAGGTTTCCCAGTGTTGCTTCTACTCTCCTCTAAAGACTTCTTAATGCTCAAGTCTGACACCACATAACAGAGATTTGCCATGTGACTTCAGAGTTGGGTAGCTGAGCCTGAACACACTGAACTGTCTGCTTGTTTGAGAACTAAATCGTGCTGAGGCATACTGGAGCTCATTGCCCTCTTCTCTGTATGTACAATAGATTTTTGTCCATTTAGCAGTAGTGATAGCAAAGCACCAAGGATTAAAATGGAGTTAAATTCCAGGCAGCCAGGGCTGGTGTTTTCCACAAGCTGCTACAGTGCAACAACGCCCTTCACTATTAATATCAGCTTGCCATGGTGTTATCCGGAGTTGCTAAGAATTGCTCTGATTTCCTCAAACCACCAAAGCAGAAGCCTTTACCCTGCTGTGTATTTTTCGTTACTCGCTTAATAACCCTGCAGCTCACATGAGTGAGCTGTCAAAGTCAGAGACCTAATTTACAAGGTCAGCATGCAGGCGTGCAACAAAACCACAGTTCTCACAGAAAAATGATGTCAGGTCTTAAGACTTGATTTAATCAGATTTATTTAAATAGCTATGTAAGGAACAATTCCTCGTTAGGTTCTCTAAATTGATTTAAGGCCTGGTCTGCCCATACATTTTGTAGTGGTATAATTATTACTGCTAGGGTTATGATTTCTTGAATGCAATAATAGTTCCATGGCCATTAGAAGTCCAGCTGGTGTGTGTGCCATTCTTCACCCTTAATAACTTCTCTCTCCTATGGAGGTGCAAATGGCCACTTGCATGTACATGCAGAGCATTTAGCTGCTATGAATTTGTCTTTACTACAAGTGTGGTCCAGCTCTGACTGTACTGGTACATTATAGAGCCAGTCCTATTTAGCATCGTTTGCAAATGATACTAAATCAGGAGATGACATTGACTCCTTCAAGGGTAGAGAGGCCTTGCACAGAGATCTTGGCCATCTAGGGATGACTGGGCAGTCACTGACCATGTGAAGTGGGAGATGAGAGGCTGC